GGGGTCTCGGGTGGATGCGGCGCTATCACTCACTATCGCTCAGTTGCTGGCAGCTTTCGCTCAGGCCTCTGCTGAATGACGCGATAAGGAGACGCGCGACCGCCAAACCGCGTAAATTGGAAGGCGGGTTTCGTTTTTTTGCTTCTTTCTGTTTTCCCTGTCGTCGGCGTTCCCCCAACAACTCAATTGACCTTCTCCTGAATTCACCCATTGCCGTCTCTTCCACATTCCATCTCCCACATCCATCTCCATGACCATCTCACTGCCAATCCACGCAAAAGAAGAAGCAAAGCCCGCCGCCGCCATGTCTTCAGCCTTCGTTCAGCGCCCTGCTCCTGCCTTCAAGGCCACCACCGTCTTTACTGCCGGCGAGTTCAGGGACATCTCCCTCTCCGACTATCTCGGCCAATGGTGAGTTTTTCGTCAGCCCCAGACTTCAGATCAGCAACCAAATCCATCCGGCGGGCCTTTGCTAACGTGCCCCTTATGCAGGGTCGTCCTCCTCTTCTACCCCATGGACTTCACATTCGTCTGTCCCACTGAGATTATCCAGTACAACGACGCTCTTGCCCGCTTCCGCGCCATCAACACCTCCGTCCTCGCCATCTCCACCGATTCTCACTTCTCCCACTTTGCCTGGCAGCAGCAGCCCCGCAAGCAGGGTGGCCTCGGCCCCGATCTGGAGCTTCCTCTCGTCGCCGACCCTTCTCACTCCATCTCCCGCAGCTACGGCGTCCTCATCGAGGAGGAAGGCATTGCCCTCCGTGGTCTCTTCATCATCGACCCCAAGGGCATCCTCCGCCAGATCACCATCAACGACCTCCCCGTCGGCCGCAACGTCGAGGAGACCATCCGTCTTATCGACGCCTTCCAGTTCACCGACGAGCACGGCGAGGTCTGCCCCGCCGGCTGGATGAAGGGCAGCCAGTCCATGAAGCCTGACCCCAAGGGCAGCCTGGAGTACTTCGCTGCTGCCAATGGCGAGGCCAACGGTAACGGCGAGGCCAATGGCGAGGCTAATGGCCACAAGCGTGCCCGCGTCGATTAAACTTGGTCTCCAATTGAGATTGGGACCTGATTCTTTCTTTGGAGCCGAGGGAGCTTAGAGTGCGCCGCATGTAATCACCAGAACTAGAGCTGGTAGACTTGATTTTGCTAGACTAGACTAAAAATGGAACAAGGAATTTAGATCACCCACCCATTAGACCTTGAAGTGCCTGGACTAAACTCAGGAACGACGTGAGACCATGTCAGAAAGGCTGACCTATAAGCTTGAAGATGAGACACGGCTAGCCCTTTTGAGTTGTTCGCCCAGAATTCTCATACCAGATTATCAAACTGGGAAGACTGAGAGGCAACAGCAACAAACGAACTGGACCCACGGATCCGCCTCAAATTCTGCACAAACCCAGTCGCAAATACAAGTTTCAAAATAGCGGCCAATTGATTTACGACTGGCTGGTTCCAGATTGGACCAATCGCGTTATACGAACTACATACCTGGCCGAGTTGCCGAGGCCCAATATAGAGGAGACCATGAAGGCTTGGATGACCAATCAATGGCAGATGGCACCATGGTCTTGATTCAGCACACGATATGATGCAATTAGCCACATAACTGGCTGTCTGTGGGGATGTCAATATATTGCAAAGTGGTCACTTGTGGAGTGATGCCCGCCGGAGTTGCGGAGTGACAACACTGATTTGTAAGGAACACTGGCCGATACAACATTATTCGCTGGGCCAAGCGAGGTTTTATATATCGAAATTTCCCCTCTGTCGAAATTCTGCTTGCCAACCACAGAACATTCTCTGCCAAATTCTAGACTTCCTTCGACTCACCCGCCTCATCATGCCAGTCCCGTCTACTTTCAAGGCCGCCCTCTTGGCTGGCAAAGGCGAGGAACCATATGTCGCAGAGCGATCCCTCGCTCCTCTAAATTCCGGCGAGATTGCCGTCAAGATCACAGCAACCGCAATTAACCCCGTGGACTGGAAGATCCGCGACTACGGCTTCTTCATCAAGGAATGGCCGACGATTCTGGGAACTGATGGCGCCGGTGAGGTCGTCGCCCTCGGCCCCGACACATCCCGCTTCGCCATTGGCGACCGTGTCTTCTTCCAGGGAATCCTGGGCAATAAGGACTTCTCTACCTTCCAGCAGTACGCCAAAATTCCGGAGGCACTGGTGGCGAAAACACCAAAGAACACCACCGACGAGGAGGCGGCGGGCATTTCCGTGACCACTGTCTGTGGTGTTGTCGGCTTCTACGACAAGACGGGGCAGGGACTGCCTGCACCATGGGACGAGGGAGGCGACAAGGCCGGTAAAGGCAAAGCAATTGTTGTTATTGGTGGCAGCTCTTCAGTTGGGCAGTATGCGATCCAGCTGGCTCGCCTGTCGGGCTTCGACCGCATCATCACGAACTCTAGCCCCGCGCACCACGAGTTCCTGAAGAAACTGGGTGCGCACGTTGTCCTGGATCGATCGAAGTCGAGTGTGGAGGATTTCGCCGAGGCGATCGGGGATGTACCGCTCGAGTTCGTATTCGACTCCATTTCCGAGCTCGAAACTCAAATTCTAGGTGTCAAGCTTCTACAGGCAACGAACGTCAGCAACGCTCAGCTCATCACGGTAACAGCCATCCAGGAGGAGGCCCAAAAGCTCGGTCAGTCCAAGGAGCCAAAGGTGCTTATCAAGAATGTTCTGGGATTGGGAAGCAGCCCGGATCTGCGGTACTTGAGTGAGCCACTGGTCAAGGCCCTCGGAGACGAGGATGGCTGGCTTGCAAAGGGTTTGTTCATCCCGAACCGCCCCTCTGTTGTTCCCGGTGGATTGGCGAAGCTCCAGGAGGCACTGAACAAAGTTAAGGGGGGTGTGTCAGGGCAGAAGATTATCATTAAGCCCCAAGAGTGAAATAATATAGTCAGGCGGAAATACCATTCTCTGTCCCTGTCCAGGAGTTTGATCCCACTAGATAACTTAGCGCTCTAAGTTCAGTCGAATTTCGACCAATCAGGCAGACATTAGGGCAGAGTTGAAAAATATAACAGATTTCTCTACTACCGTTTCGTATATATAAATCTACATATACGCTTTTATACTTTTAATTTCTCTAGGATGAGTTCATTGAGCGAGTTTCGAGATTCAAATCTTACCGTAGAGTATCTATCAGGACACTAAGTGGCTGTCAGAAAAATATGACTTGCAAACTACATGTAGTCACCTTGACATAACTATTGTAGAAGTCACATTATAATGCTTACTATCATGTAATGCTAAGAAGATACTGTTTTCTAATAATTACTCAACAACTCATTATCATTATCAATACCGTGGCCTGTATTGGTAAGTTGGGATAAGAACACCTTTGTAGTCTCTATTATTCTGGCGCGCACTTAACACTTAGAAGCCATGGATTGCATAAAATATCGGCTAGTTCAACTTTATCCTGATTCTCGATAGGCAGGCAATTCCTAATATATTGATATTCCGTTCGAGTACTTTCCTAAGGACTTGGTGGTATATTGGGAGAATCCACTACATTCTTTCGGTACTCAGTTCACTAAAAAAAAAAAAACTATATTAATTTCGGTCATATTTAACTTACATAACTGACTAAAAGCGAAAATTTAATGGAGCCTGAAATAATGAACCCACTACATCACTGCGCGGAGCCTTTAAGTCAAATGGGATCGTCACTTTGGCTATCTTCACGTAAGAAATGACTATGAGTTCTCCTTACTTTTCGAAGTGGTTTTTTGAACACTTTTGTTCTTCAGTAAAGTACTTCCTGCATACCTAATAATCTGGAAGGACATTAGAAGAAAATGGCGATGATATATTGTCTCGGCAACCCAGAATAGGGTAGGCCAGTACTCAGGTGACGTTGGGAGATGATAGTAAATGATATTGCAAGTCAATTTTTTCCAAAGCATGAACATCCCTACGGTGTGGCGTTGATATGGCAATGGATAATCTTATGGTCCTAGATATTGCCACAAGAAATCGAGACACAGATAAAAGTGCAAGCGCTCAGCTTCTTATGTGGAGCATGGATGAGATACAATCATCCTGGCCAGCATATACAGCCCTCATACCCACTCGTTGTCTGATTCCCGATGATTTATTAAATTTCTAGCATGTGAAGTACCCATTCACTCAACGTTGGACCTGTAGCTCAATTTCCCCTCAAAGAGACAATACCAATTTTCTCCCCTGGTTAGACGGTCCGCACCGGCCGCTTTTCGCCCACTTTGCGCCCCACGGCCTCTGGAGACGCCTTTTTTGCTTCTTCCATGCGGTAATTTTTCAAACTCGGCGGGTTGACTGTGTACGGGTTACCTTGACAGGAATAAGTGAGGAAAGATTGGCAGATCTTTAGTATCGGTCCGTGGTGATTCTCCTGGATCGCAAATATACTGCTTAAGTGGATAAAATGAACACTCGGTTCGCTGAACGTTAACTCTTCAGGAGGGAACTGATTGCATTTGTCAAAGACATTCTGTACTAAGGCATGAGATCATAGAGCTATATCTACCTATCGTAGAATCTTCTTGAGTCAGGTTGGGAAAATATGCTGTGATGAAATCGCACCAAACTGGATGGCGAAACGACCTGTCACTTTGTGTAAAAATCTTCTTAGTCGAACCTCGGCCTCATCGCGGCTCGCCAAGATTTGAAGAAACAAGGGACTAATGTTTGGCTTGTACATCGATCTGTTCATTGGCCCGATGCTACCTGATATTTGATCAATATTGGCGAGAAAGGTCGATCAGACCAGGGGATATCGGCAATTTTACTTTCTTTTTCCCCTATTTGCCCCTCGTTCCCATTCTTTTCCCAATCCCTTTCGCATCCCTCTCCTCCTTAATCGTACTGTCGACCTGAATAACTCCGCACAGTACGCATATCCTGCTGGAAGGTGGAAGGCTGAAACGTGCGAATACAACCGGCTGATTTTTCGACATAAGCAGATAAACAAAGGTCCCGTAGATAACCCGCTGGAAAAGGCATATGGCATGCTCACAATGAATGCGTACTCTTTGAGGTCTGTATAAGCAGGTGAGATATGACCATTATCTTCCTTCTGATTCGTCTATGTAGTATTTATGGAATCCAAGTTTCGGAGCATGCACAATGAAAAGGCCGTTGCAACAAAAGATCCTAACCCTTCGGAATACTCCCATGCTCAGCTGGTAGGTATTGATAATACAACCAAATAAGATAAAATGAACTGATAATCGGTCTATATGATCTGCCATATCTGTCTTGTGACTGAAAAATCCCGGTTTGAGGTATTCGGACAACTCCTTACGAAGATAGGTGCTGCCATTGGTGAATAACAAATGCAGCTCTGTAACTATGACGATGACGAGGTTCGGGGTTCAGCGAATGGGCTTCCCGAAAGGCCAGCCCGTAGCCGCTCCCCGTGCCTGGAACTTTCCACTTCTTCATGTAATATTACAGCTCATATTCTCCACGGCTCCCTAAGAAATACACCGGAGAGACAAAACAGCAAGAAGGCTGGGCTATGCTAGTCTCCAGTAAAGCACAGACAGGAGTAAAATTCCATGCAAAAAAGCAATCATCATCGGTGATGGCGTCTGGTTACTTGTATAACAATGAGAAAACGGGGTTGCTCCACACTGATGCGTAGTTCTCTCAAAGTGATTCTCCACTGCAACGGGAGAGGATGCGAAATTTTCAAGCCTTTTCCTGCCTCGTACCCATGCCATAGCCCCCGGTTACACCCTTACGGAGGGCCCTGATATCGGTTGTGCTTAGAATCATGGGCCCAACCCCACCGTGGCCACCTCACCTGGATGAAATATTTGGATTCTCTAGTTTATCAGAATATTCGGATCACACGGTTTATAAAAGGGAATAACTAGAGAATAACAAGATAAAGAAGAGGAACATGTGGTCTGTTCTCCGGGATGAAGTGTTGCGGCTGAGCCGGAAGCGCCCGGTGTCCGGACTGTGAAAAAAGCAAGGCGAGGAAAATGAAGTGACATGCATGAATGACAGCTGTGGCAGATGCAAGACAGCAGCTAATACTGATCTGAATGATCGGATTGGCCTGACGATGCTGCACGGAGGAGACGAGTCGCAAAATGTACGAATCCCATGTTGTCAAAAACGCCACATCGGCTCTCCAAACCACTCCCGTGAGTTTCTGTCGAACTGCATTTAACTGAACGCATCTCCCTGTATTTAAATCAACCTTTCCTCATTCGTCCTCCGGTAAGATAGATCATTAAGTCGATGAAACACCCGTTGCCATGGCCAGTTTCCCAGTAACCAACGGCGTGACGACCATTATCCCACCACCTGAAAACTATATGGTGGACTTCGAGAACCCGAAAACTCAACATACCTTGGAGCATTTTATGATATTCGGTTTTCTGGGATCACTAGCATTCATTTGCTTAGTGCAACGACTCTATACGAAACATTACATTGTCGGTGGTCTCCGGGTGGATGACTGTAAGTATCCTAAGTAGAACACGGCGCATGAAAGTCGAACTTTAGCAAATTGGAAAGTGATTCGGTAGAGCTGAATATTTGCTAGACCTCATTACCGGTGCCTGGATAGCGTCTTTGATAATGGAGTCGGTTCAAATATGTAAGCGAGATTTCGTCCTAACAAGCTCACCGGCTTTGAGTGTGCGTTACTTATCATACTTGTGAACCAGGGTCCATATCTATTGGGGGTTTGTGTCATCACGCCTGGGAGATGCCTATTGAAGTTTACGAAAAGCACATGATTGTGAGTATGGACTATTTGCTCTTAATCTTGTTCTTTCTTTTGCTCACAGAGCCTCTACATAGACCTCGTACATCGCGGCGCCGGTATTTATCTTTTGCAATGGCCTGAGTAAAACGTCTCTTCTTACATTTTATCTTCGGATTTCGGCACAGAGGGTTTTCATAATTACCATTTGGGCGACGATGACCATCGTGGCCTGCTACACAATTGTTATTGCTGCCTTGCTTCTGTTCGGATGCCGTCCAATCTCCGCTTCCTGGGACCCAAATGTCATGGCCAGTGCCAAGTGTGTTGACGTGGCGGCTCTCTATATCGCTATTGCAATTGCCAACATATTTTCTGACGTCGTTCTATTCATCATTCCCATCCCGACCGTTATGCGCCTCAAGATGCCTTTGGCTCAGAAGCTGGGGGCCAGTCTGATGTTCGGAATCGGATCAGTGTAAGTAGATTGGCCGTTTCATTGAGGCATCTTGGTCTAACAAATCTGGACAGCACTATTGCTACGTCTATTGTTCGTATGGCATACCTCCCTTCGCTCTTACACACAAACGACATCCCGTGGGTGGCTGCGCCGGCCAACGTCTGGGTCTTCATTGAAGCCAATCTGTTCATCATCTGCGGCTCCATGCCCACGTTCAGAAAATTCTTCCAAAAGTTCGCCCCGAAATGGCTGGGGAGCAGTTACGGATCGCAGAATCACCCGTCGAGAGGAAACACATACAAGATGTCGGGCAGTGTGGTGTCTCGCCAGCATCGCACGGGCTACTCACAATTCGACGATGCAGAATCGGATTCACTATCAGCTAAGGAGCTTCAGCAGCTGTCTGACGCGACTGGAAAAAGATAGAGCATCGTTACAGGACATGTGACGTCTGTTGACTGTGAAGCGGCAGGGGGCTCGCAAGAATAGAGTATGGACGGCAAGGATATTATTGATAATGGGAGAGGGATCAGCTTCACCAGGACGATTGAGATCAAGTATAGTACATGAATATTCGGCCATTTGAGGCACGAACACGTTGTTTTTGTATTGTTATTCTTATTTTTATGCCCTGATGACCTACATAGATCGATACGTAAAAATTGCGGTTGGTTTCTGGATCAAAATGCACGCAATGACCGGGAATAAATTCTAGTGACGGGTGGCCAAGAACCTTGAAGAAAGCCTTACGTTGGATGAGGCAGACACTGCCAAAGCGGCTAATCGTGTAAAGCTGATCCGCCCGTATTTGCTCGTCATAAGAAACAGCAGGTCCCCACCATTGAGGGACAGATGGCTTCATCGCTTTCATTTATGCATTGCTCAAGGACTGGCTGGCTGTGACAATGACGGATTCAGTTGAGCACGGCGACCAAACTCTGCCAACCAATTTGATACTATTTCCGCTTTTCCTCGAGGCGCTATCAAAAGAGGGTGCAGATCTTGTGCCGCATCAGCTGGAAGCAGTCCGTCACCTCCCCACCATCAGCGAAGGGCCTAGATACTCAATCCGTCGCCATATCCGCGCTCAGGTAGCAGGAAGAAACGTTGTTGCCAAGGTTCTGAATCGGTCAATCTCGCCTAGCGCTGCGAAAAACGATGCTTGTACACTCACCGAACTCGTCCGGTTATTGAAAGAAGTTAGAATACTTAATCACGGCCCTTTTCGGAAACATGAGAACATCGCCAACCTAGATGCCGTCGAGTTTGGCATCTTCTCTGGAGATCCATTTGAGATTTGCCCGGTTTTGGCCTTGGAGGCTGCAGAGCTCGGAAGTCTGGATACTCTCCAGAGCAAGCCCCCCTCACAGACTCTTCCATGGAGTGCTCGAACATCACTCCTCTTTGATGTCGCCAGCGGACTCAAGGCTCTGCATGACCATGGAGTTCTCCATGGCGATCTCAACCCCTCTCACATATTAATCCACCCGCACCCTCAAAGAGGACTCTTGGCCAAACTTACTGGATTCGGAGAAGCTCAGATCATTTCACATCTGAAGTCTGCTCCGGCTCTCTCGGGTACCGCGCCATGGAGGGCCCCGGAGATCGAAGAGGCTTCTATATCCCTCGAAAATGTTTTAAAGGCTGATGTTTTCTCACTGGGGCTTGTTTTCTGGTCTATCTGCGTGATGCAGAATCCATTTACCAAATTTGACCTGCCCCTCGACCGTTCTTCGAGCGAAGAGAGCATTAAGTTCATTGTTCGTCAAGCATATCTTTTTCGGTGCATCCCGTTCTTCATACAACACACAGTCAGAGAGCTTGATGACGAGGCTCTTAAAATGTTAGAAGAGTTGTTTGAGTGCTCAGTGCGCCTCGCACCAGCGAGCCGAGATCTCTCAAAGATTCTGCGTATCCTCACTCCGCATAGCGGCCGGGAAGCGGTATCACCTCAAGAAGAAGACTTTGGAGTCGACTTGGAAGATCTGTGCATAGATATACCCGAGCAGCCGCTGACCAGCATCACAGCGGGCGTTTCAGTTCTCAAAGACCTGCCTTCACTTGTGGCTAAGGAATATGTGAAGACATTACAGTCGATTTTGGATCTTCCACTCACTGAAGAAAATAAGAAACTTATCGAAGGATCATCTTGGGCGCTTTTCCTCTGTCATTTCTATGGCTATGGGACTCAACGAAACGTGTCCGCCGCAATAGACACCTTGATTCGTCACTCCGGTGATCCACAGTCACCAGCATATCTCGTCGATCACACAATATATATCCTGAAAAGAGCTCTGGTAAAGGAATTTCCCGTCGAAATTGCGTTAGACGGTTTGAATATCTCACTTGAAGATGGAAGACATGACACCTTTGGTTCGTGGAAAACTCTTCGCCGGCCACCAGCTGTTGATTTACTTGGACATGGGGTCAATGTTGAAGAGACGGAGATCCTTGATTATTTAGATCGCGTCCGAATGGATGAAGGGCTTCTCGAAAAAGACATTGGATCTAGTAACACTCTCCTACACATGGCCGCTATTTTCGGATTATCTGATCAGATTTCTTTCCTGGGAAATCTTCCCCAGGTAGATATTGATGCTCAAAATGACAGAGGCGAAACACCCATCTACCTGGCCTGCGTTTATGGGCACATTGGGGCCGTCAAAGTGCTTTTGGGGCTCGATGCAAATGCATCAATTAACACCCATGAACACAAGAACGGTCTCCATTGGTTGACATCCTTCCCAAAGGACGTAGTTCGCCAACTAGCTGACGATCTGTTTGAAAAGGGGGCTGATCTGGTTCTGCCCGACAGGCAAGCCCTCCGATATATGCAATGGGCATCAATGTGCCCTGTAGAAACAGAATTCATCCATACCGGGAAGATACGGGGAAACCCCCTTTTGACAGCCATCGGCAATATTGATATCGATTCCGTGCTGGCTATCTTGGCCGCTTCTACGGACTTCATCTCCATGTGCAGTCCAGAGACGCGGTTGTTTGTTACCTTGGATTTGGTCTATGAGCCGGCGTTTCGTCTTGCGTGTGAGCTTCATTTGTTCGATATGATAAATGTTCTGTGCTTGGTGCTGAGGGGAGTTCTTCTTTCTATGCCAGAGGATTCGGTACCGTCTACTACTGATGGCTTATTCCAAGAGTTGCGCAACGGGATATGTGAGGTCGGGGAAGTCTTTACTGCCCTAACACAATCTACCTCCCATATACGGGCGGCTCTGGACATGCGCTTCCATCTTCATAGACTTGCCTACCATGGATCAGACTGGCAGATTGCATGTCGGCAAACTATCGAGGTTCTCATCGATCGAGGCTTCGTGACGAACATAGTCCGGACAGAGAGGGGGCCTCTAGGCACTGCAGCGTTTGCTATCCATTGCGGAAACAATGAGGCTTTGCGTACACTAATTCAACTGACTATGTCTCGGAGCGGCCAGTTGGAAGTTGTTGATCCCCAGGGATATACCTTGGTCCATCACGCACTGTCGAGAGGCAGGCTCGATTCACTCAAAATCCTGGCCGAGAATGGGGCAGTATTGGATCTACGACAGCATCGAAATCCCAAGCACTGCCTCACGGGTGTAGGAGCTAGCTACTTGCATGTCCTCGGCTCGTTGCGGCTAGCAGACCCCGAGTTTGTGCACATCTTCCTGGAGCACGGAGTCCCGGCAACCATCGAGGATAACCGAGGGAGTAGTGCCTTATCTCTGGCTTTGATACGCGGTGCATTCTCCGTTGCTCGTGTATTGCTTCAACAAGGCGCCAGCCTATTGGAGAAAGGTCGGCATGGATTAACTCGGTTGGGTGAGTTATTCCTACCGGGGATGATTGAGCAGCACGATGATATCTTTTCAACGATCAAGTAAGTTACTGAATTTAATACATTCAATTTATCATTTTACTAAGGAGATCTAGATTCATTCTGTCTTATGAAGACCATAATTCGCTGTTCATTGTCTCCCCCGAACTGGATTATACAGTATTCCACATAATTGCACAATGTTATTCAACAAGCAAACAATATCCGCGGCTTATTGACATGATTATTCAGAAATACGGGTCGAAGGAGCATCTAGAGGCCCGGGCAAGTAATCCTGCAAAATCCACTGCTCTTTTGACTGCCGTTGCCCAACTGAACCCAATCGCCGTTGAAGCTCTGGTCAACGCGGGAGCATCTATGACTGACACGGACTCCGAAGGTCGAACACCACTACAGTATGCGCGTGTGGTCCATTCTAAACTCATATACAACGTACACAGCGTGTCTAGCGGTGATAAAATCGAGGACTTGGAGCGTATAACTTCGGTCATCATCGTTCTTGTGGAGAAGGGAGGTCGTCTGGAGCATATTGACATACCCAAAATCAACACCGCGCTGGACCAAGCCGAACCTCTGTTGAAAAGAATGATGTGTTCCGAACACAAGGTAGCCTACATGCGGCACCTTGAAGATTCTCTGATGGCCACCGTGCGGTCGGGCTATTCCGACATGATAACAACTTTGGATATTGACGGCCTTGATCTGATCCGGAGGATTGTGCTAAGAAAAGTTAGGCCATGTCTGAGAATGGACCTGGAGTATCGGGTCTTGCCCCTATCTTCGGACGCTTCAATGCCATTTGAGTATGAAGCAGTCAGGGAACGGATCCCCTGGTGTCAAGAATTGACGAATAGAGACCTTCAGCAGTTTCAAATGGCGGCTGCGTTTGAATGGCTCCTTGACCTCATTCAAGCAAACGACGTTCCCCCTAACAGCTCCCAGCTGGGGACGGAGGTCCTGCTTAAATATGCCTTGACAAGAAACCCGGCTGATCTGCCCTTTGATCCGAAAGTTGTGCGATTCCCTTACGGATTGTTGGAATGGTACGGACGCATCATTGCAACGAATAGTTTCTTGGGAGAAGAGCGTGATTGGGAGCAACGTTTAGGATTTTTGGAGATTCTCAAAGAGAGAGAAGTGGCGCGGCAACAAGGGGTATTCCCACTCCCCGCCTTCGATGAATCATTCCGAGAGTTTCATTTCAACATGCTTCAGCCCAAGAAACTGGGTGTCGAAAGTTCATTCGCTTCCGTCTCTACTGTCCTCCGTTGCCGCTGCTACTATGAAGATATAGGCAGCTGCACGCGCTTTAAGCTCATGCGTATTACTCAGAGAATGAGCAGTATCGATACCGAGACATGGAAGAGTCGGGTCAAGGAATATAGTGCAGGAATCGCAGGATTTGAGGGCAAGCTTTCAAACTGGAAAGAGCTAGCTACTGGGTCAAGGAAGGATTTGCAGCACATCTCTATTTTGGCACAACTCCTTTCTGATACAGAAACACCAGAATCGGCATTTCTACTTGCACATCCTAAAAATCTTGGCGATATTCCCATGGGACCTGTGACGGCACAGTCGACGGCTACTCCCCCTTCTGATGACACCGAGTTGGCAACCGTCAAGCCTGACTACAGACCACTTGATACGAAGAAGCTCGAACTCAGGTTTCTCAAATTAAATCCTCCACCATCCACCACAAGAAACATGTCGGAAGATCTCATAGACTGCGGTATACAGCAGTATTCAATCTCTCCTAGATATCATACTAAGGAGTATCGCGAGTTTATCGCCAATGCTGGTTCGAAGTCAAGAACACCCATGGAATACTATAGAGGCTGGATCGAGGCATCGGGAAAACCTAGATTTACATGGGGAGACTTTGATTGCCTCAGCTATACCTGGGGAGATCCCAAACAGTCCAAGAAGATTTTACTCGATGGGAAACCAGTCACTGTGGGAGCAAATTTGGAAGCTGCGCTTCGCTCCCTTCGTAACACGGAGCAGCACCGAGACGGGGTATTACTCTGGGTCGATGCACTTTGTATCAATCAAGATGACATGGACGAGAAAGCTAAGCTGGTCAACCAAATGTACAACATTTATAGGGCTGCTCGGACGGTGACAGTCTGGCTGGGAGCTGCGGATTCCGACACATCCGATCTAGTGAATCGCATTCACAACTTTATTTCGACCTACACCCGAATAGACAACCCAGAAGGCAGCCTACAAGAGGCGGGACTTCTGAAATGCCCGCCTATATGGTATTCAACCAACATACTTCCGGCGGTAGTCCACTTGTTCGATCGACCGTACTGGAGGCGGCTCTGGGTAATGCAAGAGATAACAGCCAGTGCGCCCTGCGAGAGGTTCTATATCGGAGATGATGTAGTATCCTGGAACGAGATGCTTCTGCTCATTCGCTATCACAGAAACCTTACAGATCTACATAAGGCAACTGATGAATTCACTGAAGTCCAGCTTGGTCGAGCTTTCGGCAATCTGTCGCATACTAGGAGGCTCATGGCGATGGCCGAGATGTACCATTCGAGCCCTGGGATATCACATAGAAATATTTCACTGGAATTCGGTAGCTGGACGAACTGGATATCACTCGGCGGTAATGCCCATGTGACGGATGAAAGAGACAGAGTCTACGGTCTTCTTGGATTGCTTAGTCCGAATATTTCCTCCAGGGTTCAAGTTCGATATTCAGTGACGGCGGCAACTGTCTTTCGGGATTTCTGCAGAATTCTGGTTGAGGCAACAGAGGAATTTGATGATGTACTCGCAGGGAATATCTGGGATCAACCAGATGGTTGCTCTTGGGCAATAAACTTGAGTAAATCATTCAACCGCCGAGTCATCAATACCAATGCCACTGGCGAACCAAGGCCATACGACCCGCAGGGTGCTACCGATGAAAAGGGTGACGAGCCCTATGTGCCGCCAACCAAAAAGTTGAAGCCAAAATTTAGCTTTTCGGATGATAGCACGGTGTTGTCCATGCGGTGCCTTCACGTCGACAGTATAGAAGGGATATCTGGGTTTGCGTCCCGTCACCCACAAGTAAATGTCGAATGGAAACAACCAACACGGCCACTATTACACGGAGAGCAATCTAGTGAGCGAGAGAGCCTGTTGCGAATACTGTACGCCGACGGAGAGAGAACCGATGACCCTGATAGCACCTTGCTTGATATACCGTGGTATGATGACGCTGAGCCCGATGCTCCAATGATAGAACAACTACAAGAAAACGGATGGTGGGATATCATCCAGGCGGGCAATTTCAGGGCATTCCATGAATTCAGAAGGCAAAAAGGTGACTTCATCACCTATAATGGCGCACCTTTCAGCAGTTTCTTCCCTGGGACTGTAGCCCCATGCGCCAGCAAGGAGAAAATACTGGCAGCACTGGGTCCAATTGTACCAGTGCTAGATTCTACGTTCATCACTACGACCGGTGGGCGTTTAGGCTCCACTCCGGTGCCGGCTCAGGTGGGAGATTCCATCTTCATTGTCCCGGGATGCTCGTATCCCGTTTTGATGAGACCAGAGAATGGATATCACCGAGTGGTTGGGGAGTGCTACGTGGAGGGCTTGATGAAAGGTGAAGGTGTAGAAGACCATCTGGGTCAATTCGAAGAAATTCATTGTCTTTAACAGCTGTTGCAGCTTGAATTAAGTAGGCAGTTAGGGAACGTTTCTAAGTTTAAGTATTACGCTTATAGTTAACCTTTTCAGAGGAAATCTTGAAACATATATTGAACCTAGAGAGGCTGAGGTAGAAGAATTACTACCAGCCAAGTGACTGATGCAAAACATGGCACACTCAGAACCTCGAGTGTTGAATTTCAAAAACAATATCAGACGGTTGACCAGTAAAAAACACAACATCGAGCTAAATAATGTAGAATAACCTATTATTAATTTATGGTTATATTTAGTATTATTATATAAATAAAACAAGGTCCCTGACTTACGTGAGAAGAGCTTTAGTGTGCCATGTCTTATGTCAATCGCTTCCCAGCTCTCGATGTGTCGCTGTTGGGCAAAGCTAATCTGCTGGATAGTTTAGTACCTATTCTCATCTGCAGTGTGAGGAAATTAGAGTCTGGTATGATAATGTTCAGATTATCATTAGGTTTTGTTGTGGCAAATCTACCTTCTCCTTGATTAGGGCCATAGGACAAGTGTCCAGGACCACAACTGTGGAAAATCTCTCTCCCTCTCTCTCTGACATAATCATGGGCTTTACCCAAATACTAAGCCCATAGGAGAGAGTTTGAGTACCAAATTTATAAAAAATGTAATAAAAGATACTAGACTCGACATCTCAATACAATTAATATAAAAGGCGAAATACAAGCTTCGCTAGCCTAAGGCTGAAGTCATACGGAAGGCAAAGTCTATAAGCTTTATACCGATATTTCACTTGCTGTTGGGACGAGCCGCTCGTGGAATAAGTATAAAGCCTACCCTCTTTCACCTGGCTTCCTTCGCTCGACTTGCACCAATCCAAAGACTTCAGCACACTAAGCTCGAGGTTTTCCGGCTTGCAAGATAACCAACCTAGGTAGTGAGTACGAGGGCTAGAGTACTTCCAGCACCAAGATCATCCTTACCCCTTTTCTATTCTCTGTGGATATCATCAATCCGAAGACGTAACCCATTAACAAGATTACCATTTTCAAGATGAGTTGAAAAGCCACCACATCTGTCACCTACTACCTACTCTCTGCCATCCTGTACCTGGTACCACATACTGAGAATCTTACTGAAAGATGACGTCAGTTGTGCGGTATTTGCCACTGTTTCTTGCAAGTGGCAGGTAATTATCGAACGGCATAACTTTAGACGACTTAAAGTAACGCTACAACGGCTGAGTACCTTCTAGGAAATAACGCACCATCAATAGCATCTAGTACGTTACGCATAGCAATACCTCGAACTTTCAGAGTATCCGCCGGTTGTATCTTGGGTGGTCGTTAAAGAGGACAATACACTCATTGCAGAAGCAATCGAGACCTTATTTTCAAACCTTAGCACTTAGCAGCCGCTTAGTGATCTGATTCTTGATATCAGCATCCTTTGATACGCAAGATCCGTTGTCAAGATATCTGATATTTGAGCCTGATCTGAGTCGAAGAATTACCCCTACGATCGAAACATACACAGAGATTGATGATCTCCTATTGAGCAATGGATATGAAACTCGCGAGCTTGACGACGTCGTCTATTGGCTCTCTGGCTACTCCTCCTAGAAGTAGTCTAAGCTGACTTTTCTCGCGGTCACATCACAGCTGCTACGACCTGACGCCGATCTACACCAGCTGGAAGAAATACTCCGGGAAGCAGCGGCAGTAGCCCTGCGGATGCAGGGCGAGAGGGGCTTGCGGCACTCTTCAGCTATCAGCCTCGGCCTACACGCCTTACATGGAAGGCCCCATGCAATTTCAGTATACCAGATTCCGTAACCAAGGCCTGGGACGAGGTGGCCAGGACGTCCTATGGTCTTAAATCCGCTGCTGTTAAGCAACTTTTGGATGGTACAGCGATTAAGTCTCATGCGGATTCGATCGTGCAATTACAGCTTTCACAGATGGTAGTGCGGCCAATCTCGTTGCAATAGACCATGCAGGAGCAGAGATACCTTGATTCTTGAACAGTGCATGACTAAAATCTCACGTCCTGATACTTCAAGGTAGAACGAATACTGGTATCCTAGGTGAAAATTCAAGCTCGAGCAAAGAAAGCCTTCAGATCGCTCCGCTCAATCCCTGTTCAAAGAATTTCATTTGAAATAGATGTTTCAAAGAATATTAGCCATTGCTACTATTCGATTGTGTTGCAAAATTGAAATCCTGGTAGCGCCACCATCCAGTCAATTTATGAAGTTGTGCTGGTTACCAGGCATGCCAGGGCCCTAAATGTATAGCTTCCTACTTCTATTAGTCACAGCCCGAGCGGAGTCGAGAATTTCTGGACCATCGTGGGTTGGGCGTCTGGCGAGGCCCCAGTTCTTACCGGATTCCGTAGGTTCTGCAGATTTTCCAGGCCTCCATGACTGATTGATAAACCCTTCACTGATTGATAATGCCTCAGCCTGCTCCACCTGAGCAGTATGCCGATATCGGAGGACAATTCCTTCTGGAGGTCACTGATGTGGATGGTTAGAAGCAAACCTCGGGTCCTCACACATTCGCCGAATGATGTAGATTCGGTTAAGAAATGAAGCCTACGTCCGTGAAGGGGGATATTTGTGACCATTGGGGCGACAAGGAGCAGCATTGTGCGGCAAAACGTTGAGAGCGACAGTCACGAAGCAAAGTTAGATCTGGTTATGAGAAGCACGCATCACGAGAACATTAAATTTCTCCTAAAGCAGCACCGATCCAGGTCTTAATTGAAGCTACTCAAAAGAAGTCTAGACCAAATATTGAAAAGAAAAAAAAATAAGGAAAAAAGAACCCAACATCATTTAGTAATTTGACCGTTTTATTTCAAGCTTAAATAACTCAATATCCACGCCTTGTCCAAGATAATAGTACGCTTGTTTATAAACACAAGCTCCTGGCCAACAAACTCGGAAAAGGGATACTATCGCATATTTACGAAGCCGTGCCATAAGCCTCGAGGACATTCACTTCGAGCCTAGCCCAAGCGCTGTAGGCTTCATTAATGGGCGTTGAGGGACTTGCTGGTAGCTTGCGCGGCCTGGCGAAGGCGCGCCTCGAGGTCGGCATCACCAACCACAGTTCGGCCGTGAGCGATGAAGTCGTTGTATACTGGGACGAGAGCGTCATCTCGCAGGTCCAAGCCGTAGTAGAATAGCACGCTGCCGTTCTTATTAAAACTGCCGTCCGCCTTCTCGAAGAACCAGGTCAGGTTTTCGTCGTCCTCGCTGGCACTCCAGACGAGCGCAGGGTGATCCCTCTTGATAACGGTGAATACATTCTCCGCGACGTTGCTCAGCCAGCCAGTCTTAGTGATAGACAGGGTGCTAAGCGTGGCCACAGCTCGATCCTCGCTCTTGGGCAAAACGATAGCCAGACACTCCATGGCATCGTCATAGTAGGCAGTGAATGGCTTCTCCTTGAGGAAGTCGATAAATCGATCCACCACAGCCTCTGCATCTAGGCCGACTTGACCACGAAGAAGCGCTTCCTTCAGCTTCTCGACATCAGGAAAGTCCGAGATCGACTTTGCTTGGGATAGACGGCTGCCTCGCCTGATCAGGGTACCGCCACCGACGTCGGTGAACAATTCTTTCTGGAGGTCGCTGGGATGGATAATAGCCACACTAGAGGTTCGTGGCAATTTATCAAGAAGGGCCTTTGTTTCCACTATTTTGAGCTTGGTTCCATAACGAACCCAAGGCTGAGCCATAAGATGGTCGTACTCTTCATCAAGGTTAATCTGTGAGATCTTCTGACCATCGCCATCAAACAGTCCACCTTTTTCTGCTAGATACACCACTTTCAAGGGCTGTAAAGCCTCTGCGAGAGCCGAAGCACTAGGAAATAACGTAGTCAGCCAATCTGTCGTCACACTTCAAACGTTGGAGATATAGGGCGGGGATACTTACGCAACATCAGCGTTGACGTTCAGGAGCTGTCCGTCTTCGCTCTCAGCCATCGAAGTGAGGACAGGGATGTAGCCTGCCTCGATAGACTTCTCAATGGCATCCTTGTTCACTCTGGTGATCTTGCCAACATACTTCCACTTATCCTTGTCGAGGTAGTCGGCGATAAAGGCGCCGCTGATGGTTCGAGTAGCAACGCCCAGCTCGTCGAGGCGGTTGGTGAATCGCAGGTTCTCCTCGAGGAAGAGCTTACGGGCAATGCCTAGAGTCTTAGCATCAGTCACCCGAATACCCTCCTCGAACTGGGGCTCGACGCCGGCATCCCTAAGGTAACGTTAGCCTTTTCATCCTCCTAAACAACAGCCCTAAGCAAGAATAGAGACTCTAAAAGCTTATTTAACTGGACGCCGCCCCCGTGGACCAAGATTGGATAGAGGCCAAGCTCGTAGAGAAAGAGAAGGTTGCGGCACAGGTCGTCCAGGAACTCGGGTTGGAGGATCGCTCCAGACACCTTTTAGTAGTAAGCGAGAGATCATGACCAACATAGACCACAGAACGGGAGGAAACCCACCTTTATCACAGCGAACTTCTGCGACTCCACGCTGGTGAAGAGCTTGAGCCACTGCTGGCTTTCGCGCTTGCTACCGATGCTGCTGACGGTGTGCGTAATGATCTCGCGAAGGCGATCACGGCTGGTCGAAGAAGCCGACAGGACTCGGGCAGACGTCGAGAAAGAGCGAGCGATGTTCGTAGTGGTCGCGGCGTTGGCGATGCTCGTGGTGATCGCGGCGTTGGTGATGTTCGTGGTGGTCGTGGTGTTGACGGTTCGGCCGTTGATCGGAGCGACGGCCCCAGCCGCACGCGACACAGCCTTGGGGGCGACTCGTCGGGCGCCGGCCCGGAAGGCCACGCCGGTGGAAGATAGCATCTTTACGAGGCCAAGTGGCTTGGTGACGGGCGGGGAGGGTCGGATTGGCAATTGCGAGGCAATTGAGAGCAATTGGAAGGTGTTTGGGAGAATCGAAGGCGTGGTGGGCCGCAAAAGAGCTCGACTCAAGGTGGGGCAAAAATCACAAGCTGCCGTGGAAAAGCCGCTGGCCCGTGCGATGCCCTGGCGGGGTCGTGCAGCCTCAGAACACATACATCTCAGCCGGCGTACTCTGGACAGGTGGTGTATGCACTGCGCTGAAGACACCATCCGCTAACCCCCCTAATACTTGACTGAGTTAAATGCTGGAAATTTATATTTATGATTAGTGGAAGATTGCATGCCTTGAAGGAAAAGGAGAGAGTTAAAGTGTTGTGACTTATCACATATGGATGTGTAGGGTAGGGCAAAAGCGTGATCACAACCGCTGCATGAAAGAACTGGGCATCTCTTCTTGACCATTTCAATAGGTAGACATCAACCAGGCTCTCGTTAGACGAATAATTATCTATGAGCTCAGATTAAGGCTATGGTGAAGATAATAGATGGTTTCAATATTCAAATGAACATCTGGATCAGTCATTCACTGCTTGGCGGCATTGAAACTAACATTGAAGGTAATATTCTTTTGTAGGTAGCTTGTTATCTCCCTTCCTAGGTGATTATATAGTCAAGTGGCTAGTTAAAAGTAGGGACTGAAAATTCACTTCGACATAATGATCATGGTAATTAGTTATATTATAATTCTTCTTATGGTGTATTTACCCGAAGTAATAATGGCCCCCCGAAGCCTTAAACGCTGTGGTAAGGTCGTCGACGGCTACAATTTAATCTTCTTTTGATCTAAATTGGGCTTACATTGATGGATCAGGAGTATTTGCGGTTGCAAGGTAGAGCGGTTATGAAATAGCAAAAAGACACAGAGGAACCAGGGCTCATCAAGGGAGTCATAGAGTCGTGATAGTCAACTCAACCTTTATTCACTTAGAACCTCAAGTACGGCGAAGTAATCATTGCTCTAACGCCGGTAAACCATTAGAGAACGCCAATGTCATGATGTATAAAAGGCCCATGGCTTAGATCAATTGTGTTGCTGATGCTTTGGCTGATGTCCATCTCTGCGTTATTGAGTTGGGTAGAATATTCCTCCATCCTCTTCTCCTTTTCCTGGCTGGTTTCTCCTTCTATTTTTACTAGAGTATTTCTCTAAGCATATACATAAATGGCAGACGTCTACAATGGGGACTGGTTTGTGCAAAATACCTATCTTGAAGTACAATTACATCTCCCCTTACCCATAGACCCGCATAAGCACAGGCTGGAAAGCTTGGCGTAGTCATGCTGCAGGAAATGGAAATTAAGTAGTTTGTTGTGACGTATTTTTATTTCCAGCCCTTCTTTTTGGGGGGGTCTATTAGTGTGTTGGTCTTTATGTGCACAATCGAAATTATCCTCGAGTTCATGAGCTCATCATCGTTGGCAGATAGTTCCTATGCTAATTTATATACACGGGTGTGCAAGAAACCTCCAAATCCAACCGTCCCTTATGCGGGGATCTCGCCGTTCTTCTTGGCGTCCTCGTACATCTGGTTCCAGATGGCAAGCTTCTCCTCGTAGATGGCGATCAGGTCGTCGCTTCTCTTGGTAGCATCATCACCACCGAAAGCTCGGACAGCAGCGTAGTAGACTTCGGCCAAGGCGTTGCACAAAGAAGTGAAGGTCTCCGACTTGCACTGGTATTTAAGACTACATTGCAAATTTGGTCAGCGGACAGTTGTCTTTCCAATAGTGGCATGGTTTTGCCAGCATCAATTGTCTTAGACAAGGGGAGAAAAAAAAGGTAGGCAAAAAACGTACTCGCTCAGGAAGTTGCTATCGATCTTAGCCTTGGCGGCCTTGGTGAAGCGGCTCTGGAGGCGGTAGTTCTGGTAGCCAAAGTCGTGGCGGTTGCAGGCAGGCTCGTACTTGAAGCCGAGCGGGTTGTCAGGGGAGCTGGTGCAGCCATCAGAGGACCTGTGTATCGCCCGTTAGCAAACCGAATTCAGGGTGAAGACAAGTCAAATTGCTTACCAGTCCACGTCGGCGGGGTTCTTGGCGTTGCGGCGAGTGGTGAAGGCGG